TGAGAGCGGGGCCTTCAGCTCCCAGCGGAGACAAACATTATCGGGCGGTTTAGGGCAGGGGGACAGGCAGCCTGGATGGAGAGGGAGGGCTTCTTCTGTCCGCTCGCCACTCTTGTTCTCCATTCCCCGTTTGTAAGTCAAGATGCTGGACTGAATGACCCATGTGGCTCTTTGAGAGGTGACATGCTTTTCTGATTCAGCAAGTGGGTCTGGAGGAAGTGCTCATGGACCCGGCATGGGGCGGGGGGAAGGTGGGCTCCCGTGGCTTTTTGTCCTGTCCCCATCTTCATACCTGCCCCCGTCCGAGTCTGTCGGCGACGCAGCCGGGCAGTTGCTTGGACCCATTTCAGCCTACCTAGAACGGCCCAGCACGTATGCCACACTTACCTCCGGACTTAGCCCTGCCTGCCCCTCCCCGGGGGCTCAAAAACCCAGCACGCCACACCACCCGCTCCACTCCCTGGACGGACAGCTTCTATTTCTGCCTCTTTGACAAGTTGTGACATATTTGGGAGCAGCTGCTGCCGGGGTGGAGATGCCTTTGCTCGTCTCCTGGCTCTGTCTTGTCCCCCTCAGCCCTCTCCCGCAGCCGCCCTTCCCAGAATGTGCCGTGAGACCCCCCTGCATTCTCTTCCCAGCCTCCCTGCCTCCTGCAGGGCTGGCCAGGGCTCGGGTCTGACACAAAGGGAGCTTTCTGGGCTAGAAGCTCAGGGGCTGGGTGTGCGGTTCAAGGCAAGTCGGCTCCCCCTCTGGGCTTCATTTCTCTATCTTTAAAATGGGGGTGATGAATGATGTCCTCCCTGCCGACCTAACGAGTTTTGTTGCCTGTTATCTGTCAGAACTTGGAACTCTTCCTGGCTACTCTTTTTTTTTTTAAGATTTTTTTTTTAATTGGGGCATTGGGGGGATGGGAACAGCGCTGGGGAATTGGGGGAAGGGGAACAGACAAGTTGCTGTCGTTTTGTTCTTCAGTCTAGTTGTGGAGGATGTTGCTTCACTGGCCCAAGTTGGCACCATCATAGCGCTCTTCCCGGGCGAGGCAGATCAGTCGCCGGCTTCTGGACGGCTGCTCACGGCGGCTGCTGGCTACACACGGTAGCCCATGGCAACCCACTGCCACAGGGGCTGCAGCCTACGCCGTCCGTCGCCGGCGACTCACGGCAGCCCATCTCCAGGTTGAGCTGTTGTTCAGCATCTTAGCTGTGGAGGGCAGTGTCACTGGCCCTCATATGTGGGATCCGAACCGGGGCCCTCTGGCGTCCCAAGCCAGCTCTTAACCAACGCGCCACTCGGCCGGCCCTTCCTGGCTACTCTTGTCTTCTCTAAGGACTTCATTCCATGCCCCTCTTTTTCTCAAGTGTCTTTAACTTCTCCCCCTTTCTGGCCTTTCCATGCTGAAGTCTCTCCCGTCAACCCTCTCCCCTGCTTTTCCACGGAGCCCCCTCAGCTTTGGCCCTGTCACTAACCATCCCTTCAAGCAAGACCTGAACACAAGGCTCGTTGGGCAGCCCCCTTGGACCAGACCCGCTGTCGCTGGTCAGCTGGAATCCTTGTAACCACAGTGTCCCCAGACGGTCAGTGATGCCCAGTGGCTCGCTTTTTCTTGATCTTTTCCTTGATAGACATTTGCGCCAGACTGCCGGGGTTCTGATCCTGACGCCATCACGTTCTAGCTTTGTGACCTTGTGTGGGTGCCTTGGCTTCTTTGTGCCTCCATTTCTTTATCCTGTGCCTGTTGGTGCATAGATTAAATGACTCATATCTGAAGCGCTTGGCACACAATGTGAACTCAGTAAGTGTCAGCTCTGTGATTATTACTGAGCCTACACTCTTCTGTCCCCACTTCCTCCATCAGATTAGGAACTGCCTGAGAGCAGAAGTTCCTTCCATCACTGTCACCCTGAGAGCTCTCCTGAACAGTGGGGGCTCCCTGAGGGCAAACTGAGTGTCTGCCCCCCAGACAAGGGCAGTGCTGTGCTCTCAGGCTCTGAACTCTCTGTTCGCCGGCCTCAGTGCTCAGGACAGAGCTGCACAGCACAGGAGGTACAGTGGGGCTCCTGGGCACTGAGGGTGTCACAGCAGGGGCCCCAGTGAGGGAGCCATGGGGTCCTAGACAGACTCCTACCGAGGGCAGGGTGGCCTCAGGGAGACCTGGGCAGCTCCAGGCCACTTCTACCCTAGGGGCGCAGAAAGTGGGAGCTCTCCGGAGACCCTGTCCACACCAGCGCAAGGATACCAACCCTACACACAGCCTTGCTCTTCTCCCCGTTGGAGGACGGCACAGGGCAGGGCTCCCACCCAGAGGGTGACGACTCCTGGCCCTGCTGCTGCTTCGCTGTGTGACCTTTTATTCAGTTAATGGCTTGGAACCATCATTTCTTCATAGGCAGAGTGGTAACTAGGAAGCCCATTTCTCTAGGCTTATCATGGACTCAGTGTCTGTTGCATGAATGAGTGCATACTCACTTCCTTCCCTTGGGGGCGTTTAGGGAGCCGTATGACCAGCCCCGCCTCTGGTGGTTTGAATTCTAGCATCTGAGGGCCGAACAGGTCATCGAGATGACATTTAGTTCACTCCCAGTCTTTAATCCGTCCCAGGCACACACTTAAATAAGCTCCCAAAATGGAACCCTCGGTGATACACCCTTATGCTTTGGTCATGAGAAAGTCCCTTCTAACATCACTGTCCCCTCCCATACCGCCCCTGGGTGCCTCATAGACTGTCTTCTCCTTGACTCTGTCTGTAGCTGGGTTGACGATGTGGTGTAGCTTACTGGGGCAGGACGTCAGGAGGTCCGGATTCTGCTCCAGCTCTCAGCTCTGCTTTTGACCCCTGTGTGACCTTGAGGAGTGGAAGTTCATGTGTACTGAGCCGCTAGTATGTGTGGCTGCACGCATCACGTCACTCATTTTTCACAAGTCTGTGGAGTAGCGACAGGGTTCCCATTTTACAAAGGAGAAACCTGAGGCTCAGAGAAGTTAAGGAACCGTCACCAAATCACACAGCTCTTAAGTGGCAAGTTGTGTCTTCCTGATGCTGTAGTCTCTTCCCATTGTGCTATGCTGACTTCTCTGGGAGCCTCAGTCTCCTGATTTATAGAATAAGGGAAATGGAGTCAGTTTCTGGAGGGTCCCCTCCAGCTTCTGCATTCGTGGCCATCTGCTCAAGGCTTGGGGAAGGTGACCTGGCTAGGCCTCCCTGCCCTTCCCCACCTGCTCCTCTGCCTGTCTGTCCGCAGGCCCTGCTCAGATCCTCTGCAGGGATCCATGTGAAACAGGAAGCAAATGTTCCCAGGAGTTGGGTGGGTCCACCTGCTATGGTCCCTGCGTGAAGGGCTATGGGACCCCGGTGCCTGGGCTGTTCTTCCCAAGCCGTATTTTCTGTATCCCCAATCTGTAGGCCAACACATGGCCTCCTGAGGGTAGGGGTAGGGTTGGGGGGCACTTTTCCTCAGTGGGCTGTTTCTATCCCGGAAAGGCCGAGCCTCACAGCACCAGTGGAGTCCCCATAGCCAACATCACCGAGTCCCGTGCTCCACGTCCTCTCCGCCCAGTGACATGCAGCCCTGCCCTCCCTTAGCCTGCGGCTTCCTTTCCTGCATTTACAGATGGTGAAGTTGAGGCCTTGGGAGGTGGGTCAGGGGACCGGGCTGGGACTGGGTCTCACGCCCCCGCCCTCCCCCTGCCGGTGGGGACCGAGTGGGGACCCTGTGTTCCATTAGAGCTGCTTTCACAGCACTGTGTCTGGCTTCCCACGTCTCCAGTTGCCTGTTCCTGGTCTTTAATGGCTGTAACCACATTTCTGGAAGCGACTGTTTCCTTTGCTGGTTCACGAGGCTTTCACGCTGCCTGGTATAGGACAAAGAGCAAGGTCTCCTCGGATTCCTAAACCCAGAGCCAGCTGCACTTTCCACGTGGTGCCAGCCGGTACGGGTCGGATGGTCAGGGGAAGTACCCTGGGCGCAGGGTAAGACTCACTAAGGGACAGTGTGACAGTTATCACCAGGTCGTCGTCACTTGGGACTTCCTGTTTACGGGCACTGTGATGAATACTCTGCACACATGAATGACTGAGTCCCTACGATGAGTCTATGACATGTGTGTCATCACTCCGGTTTCCAGGCAGGGGGTCATGGTTAAGAAACTCGCTGATGGCACGGACAGAAGGGAGCTGCAGGATGAGTGCCCAGCCTGGCCTACTCCAGGCCCTGAGCCGTCTTCTCCCTGGAGGCCCACAGCTGCAGACTCAGGCCCTGGACAACCTAGGCGACCAGCTCCTCCCAAGGGTGGGTAGGTAGCTGGCACTCACCGATCAGCTCCACTGAGAGACGGGCCACCTCATCAAAGCAAGTCCCTTCTCTGGCTGGCACGGAGTGAGGCTTCAGGGCCCTCTCTCCTCCTTGGGGTGATCTGGATGTCATAGCCTGCGTGCCCTGCTAACTGGGGTGAATTCCTGGGCCTTTGGACACCGCTGGCACCTATTGGGAAGAGATGAGGGTGTTGTTCAGGGGGCATAGGACTGTGAACTGTGGAGGCAGGGGGCTGGAACCCTTGGCCTGCAGAAGGGCTGTTGTAGCCTGAGCCGGTGAGAGCTGCACCAAGCTGCCTGAGGCTGTTTATTCCGAGACAGGCAGCCTGGAGTCGTGAATGTAGGAATATTCCATCTACCCGCCTGGCACCAGCCCCTGCAGCCCTGCGAGTGGGTGTGGGTGCGATCGCGGCGCTCATGGCCCCACTCCCGCCACACGGAGCAGACAGCGCCTTCCGTCTTCCCTCTTCCAGGCTGTCCTCGCCGGGGCTTGGCTCTTGGCCTTGGGGGCTGGTAGCCAAGAGCTCGACTTCTGACCTCAAACCTCCCGCTCCCCACACTGGCTGGTTGCAGTGAGATCAGAGCTGCAGAGATGATCAGAGCTGGGAAGAATCACAGACCACGAGGAGCCCTGAGAGCTAGAGAGGAGGAAGCGACTTGCCTGAGGTGACAGATGGCAGTCGAGGAAGAAGCTGTCCTGGGCTCCAGCAGCCTGCCTGCCTGGTACTCGGAGCCAGGAAATATGCATTGAATCAGCATTCAGGGCCCTGTACGTATAACCACACGGCCTGCGCATGGGTGATCGCCTGGGTGTACGCACACTGCTCCCGCAGCCCCCACCTGCACGCATTGTCTCGAGCCTCCCTCAGCACCTCTCCCGGGTCCTCCCCGTTCCCTTCCCCACACCCAAAAAAGCTCACAGTCCAGGCTTCTGTCCCTTCAGGTGACCTTGCCTCTTTAGGTGGCTCAGGGCTGATGTGACAGCGGGGTCTCTCCTCCGTCCCGCACAGGCCAGGGGCCAGGCAGAGGGCTTCACCACCTATAGCTTCAAGTGGGGAGAAGGCACTTAGCTTCGTGCCTGGTACCCAGTCAGCTATTATTATTAGAATGACTGTCATCACCCCTGAACGCATTGGTCCTCAGGAGGCTCTCCCGCCCAGCCTGGAGGGTGGGCACAGGCTCCACGGCCTTTCATCAACGACCCTCCCTCCTCCTGGGGGTCCTTGAGGAGGCCTCAGTCCCTCCCTGCCCCACCAATTGTCAGCCAAGCCCCTGGCATCTCACGGATCTCAGCTCTGTCTGTTATGAGATATAAATAATCCCTGACATCTGTTCTGCGAACCCCCAATACGAGACCAAGTGCAGACGCTTCCTGGATCCCTGTCTCCATCCTTCCCCATCTACTGCTTCTGGCAGGACCTTCTTCTCTCTGCTGTAGGTTTAAAGCTCTTCCCTTGTGTGCCTCCTCCCCCAGTTCCAAGCCTGTGTGTGACTCTGCATCTCACCGCAAATCTCAGGGGAGTGGCAACCTTAGGAGGAAGTGCCCATTTACAGAAACTGCACAGAAGCAGTGCGGTCCCTTCTCAACCCTGGGCCGTGCAGGCCCAGCAGCTGCAAGGTGGATGGAATGTGCACAGAAAACTTGAGGGGACTGTGTGGCAGCCGCCACCCACAGAAAGGGGCTCGGAACCCATGGCTTGCTGAGTCCCCAGAGCCAAGCAAGCCCTCAGCCTTGTTGGGGGAATGGGCTGAGAACCCTCGGGACATGTCTTCGCTCTCACTCCAACTCCCCCAAACATATTCTTTGTAAGTCCTGTGGGCCTCAGCCCCTCTCCACCTGCAAATGATAATTAGCTAATTTGGTGGCTGTGTGCCATGGGCTTAATGTGCGTGTCCCCCATCCGTGTGTCGAAGCCCTGACCCCCACTGTGATGGTGTTTGGAGAAGGCACCTTCAGGAGGTGATGAGGGTTAGACATGAAGGTGGGGTCTTCACGGTGGAATCTGTACCCTTGTGGGAGGAGACCCAGAGAGCTGGCTCTCTGTGCGAACAGACCGAGGAAGGGCAGTGTGCTCCGAGCTAGAAGCAAGAGTGTCCCCACCAGGAGGCAGCCATGCTGGGACCCTGGTCTTGGATATCCATCCTACAGACTGCGAGGGAATAAACGTCTGGTGTTTAAGCCCCCAGCCCGTGGTGTTTTATCACGGCAGCTCGAGTGGACTACTAGGCTGTACACACGGACAGCCAGGACTTTCCTTTTCTCAGGAGCGGTACTGCAGCAGGGCTCCCTGGAGGCGGTGTCGGTGACGGGACTGCTCCTCAGCAGGCTGAGCACAGACCCAGCCATGCATTTTCCATCGCGTCCGAAGACTAGGTATGCGAGGCATGCAGTTTAAAGGTTGTGTCAAATTTTACTAAATAGAAAGTATTACTTGTAAGTTATAAGATAAAAATCACGTCGCAACAAACACGCATATCCCCACATTTCACTACTTTGCGTTCTCGGGGCAGAGTGCGCTTTATTTCTACAGCTGTCATTAGCTGGGCTTCCCGGATGGGGAACAGTCATCAGGGATCTGTCCTTCAGTCCTGAGACACTTCCGGCCGTTGACTCTCCAAATGGTGCTTCCGCCCCTTCCTTCTCTCACGCCTACCAGATTGCCAGGTAACCTTTCTCTCATCATTCCCACCTCTTTGCCTGCGAACCGTGTTCTGGATAATTTCTTCAGGCCTGTCTTCCGGTACAGTGATTCTCACTGCAGCTTTCTCTAGTCTGCTGTTAAAACTGTCCACTTCATTTCTAAAACATTATTTAAATTGGGAAACTGTAACACAATTCAGAAAAGTGCAAAAATATAAAAGTATACCTGAGCATTTAATTATCAAACAAACACCCAGAAATAGAACAGGACCAACAGCCCAGAACCCCCGGGAGTCCTTTCCGATCTCCAACCACCCTTCCACCAGAGGGAACCACTACCTCGACTGTAGTGTAATCATTCTTTGCTTTTCTTTATAGTTTTACCAGCTATGTCCATATTTGTTTGTTTTCTTTTTAAATAATAATCTATGCATATTTTGGGCCTTGCCTCTTTCATTCAACATAATGTTTGAGAATTAATCCATGTTTGTCCCTGTGGTTCATTGACTCTCACTGCTGTAGGTAGTCTGTTGCATGAATATATTATAATTTTTCATTGTTTTTGATGGATATTTGGGTTAGTTCTTTTGCTCTTTTCAATAACAGTGCTGTGGACATCACTGCATATGTATACTGGCACACATGTGTGTGCATTTCTCCAGGCTATGACCAGGAATGGAATTGTTGGGCCACAGATTATGTATAGCTTCAATTTTACTAGATAATTTCACAGTCTTTTCCAAAATGTTTGTGCCACTGAATTTTTACTTTCAGTTGCTTTACTTAATTCATTGTTAGAAATTTTTATTGCTCTTCTTCAAATTTGCTTGATAATATATATTCCCTTGTTCTTTACTCATATTTAAATTTCCTTGTTTATTAAAGTTTATACTTATACTTATTATACATTTTCTTTCCCTGACAATTCCAAGAGAGAAGCTTTGCAGGTACGATTCTGCATCTCAGGGGTCCTCAACCTTGGCACTATTGACATCTCAGGCCAGGCAGCTCTTTGTTGTGCGTGGCCATCCTGGGCACTGAAGGATGTGTAGCAGCACCCCTGGCCTCTACCCACTAATACCAGTAGCACACACATCCCCTCCCAGTTGTGACAACCAAAACTGTCCCTGGAGGACAAAATTGCCCTGGGCTGTGAACCACTATGCTCTCTAAGGTCTCTTGTGGGACCTCACTCATGGTGTCCTCTTTCCTTGTGTTTGTGAAAAATTTTTTTATTGTGAGATCATGTTTCTTAGAAATATATCTGTGAAAATTATCTGATTCTAGGTCAAAGGTGTTTTCCTCCAGGACTGTTTTTCGTTTGCTACTGCCAGGCATCTGAGGGCACTGTTGGTTCAGGATCATATACACAAAATAAATTCTTGGCTGTAGATATTTTAAACCACCAAGACTGTGAATGTGGGCAGCCAGTCTGCACAGTGCTAGCTGCTAGTTATTAATTCTCCAGAGAGATGTTCTTCTATCTTCTATACAGTGTCAGGTCTAAGACAGGTTTGTAGGGCATGGATTTAGTTTGAATTCACCCTTTTAATGAATTGTAGCCTTTGGGTTCCAGGTTTATGGGTTTATGCGGGAGTGTGACCCCCTATTAGATGCCTCACTTTGACAAGCCCCTCATGCCTTGCAAGGTTTGTGAAGACAAGCTCAATGTGAATGCCGACATCGGTGTGAGACTTATCTCTCTTGGCTCCTGTTCTCACAAGATTTTAGGCTTCCGAATTTACCTTTCATTCCTGCCCAGTCTATTGATGCATTTTAAAAAGAGGTTTTCATTATTTTGTCCAGTATTTTTAGTTTTCTTTACTGAGAGGATCTACCAGTAAACTACTCTGCTATACCTTAGAAACTGAAGTCCATAACTTTTAAAGATCAGTAACAATAGTGAAGCTAGCTGAACAAATTTATGGACTTTTAACTGCAACACAAAAGCAGTACCAATTGGATTAGCATCACCTATAGAGAAGTGCACTCCTATAGGCCTGTGCTGGATATGGGTAAATTTCAAGAGAACCCATGGGGTCCCCCAGGGCAGGACAGTATTAACAGACAGAAGCGGCTGAATACATCTCAGCACAGGCTCCAGACGGACATCATTGGTGATAGCTCTCAGCGTCAGCCTCCGCATTTCCTGAGCTACAGAAAACATTGCCCGGTGATAGACCTCAGAATAGGACATTTCAGGTTTGGGGATTTATTTATCCAGTGCTCTCTAACGCTCTTGGAAAGTTGCATTTTCTTGGTGAGCATAATTCACTTTCACTGTAATCAGTTCCCTAGAAATGAAGCCCCTGACAGGGCTGACGCTCAGCGACTCAGATCTTTCCTGCATTTACAACGTGGACAGCACTGACGTCGGTCTGCTGGGCTGGAGCCCAGGCTCCCGCTCAAACGTCTGTCTTCTCCGTGTGCTGTGTCTCCATCATGGCATGACACCAATACTGGAAACCACCCCACAGGTGTGTTGTGAGGCTCGCGAGACACGCCTGGACCAGTGCTTGCCCACGAGCTCATAGTGGACGTCAGCTCCAAAAGGAAAAGTCCAGAAACTGGAAGCAAGACTCACACTCATCAAAATCAGAATTTGTCCTAGAATGTGGCTGATTTCGTTGTGCTCAGAGCGGGTTCCAGCGCCTGACCACTCAGTTGTGTGTGTCGCATGTCCAGCCTGAGCCCGACACAAGCACGCCGCCCACCCAGTGTGCTCACCACGTGTCACTTTCCAGGTGAAAGTGTTGGGGGCTCTTGTCACAGGGGTCAGGTGCGAGGTCTGACAAGACGGTCCTTCAAAGCCTGTCCCATAGTGGGGAGCAGTTCAGCAGATCTTCCCGACGGGTCTCCATGTCTTTACCTCCGACAACATGGCGTAGACAATGTCTCCTGGCTCTACTTCTTCCCAAATTTCAGTACATTGACAGTAGTCAAAGCGCAAGAACAAAGAAAATCCACAACCTGGACGACTTCCTCCGTGGTACCAGACAAAGCGCATGGGCCCCACTCTCCAGATGGACGATGGCTGCAAAATCCCTTTGATGGGAATGACCTGCCAGGGCCCCTGGCGCCTTTCTCTCCGCGGGAGTCCAGGTACAGCAGTGAGCTCAGGGTGTGTATGCTTACAGCCACATTCTCTTCTAGGCAGCCTCTTCTTGGGAGGGTCAGGTCTAGTTTTGTCAAAAGTCTCTGGCTGACCACCTTTCAGGGCCAGGAGGCCACACATTCCTCTCTGGTCTCATGGAGAGAGGTGACCTGATAGGTGTGAATCTCGCTTTAAGTACCTGCACTTTTTACTTGTTTTGTTTGTTTCAACATTTATCAGGTACTTACTGTGTGCCAGGCAATATTTCAGGTGCTTTCTGCGTGAATTTCTTGAGGGAATCCCTCCGTCCCCACCCCGTTAGCCGCCCAGCGTAGGGTCTTGCTCTTTCTCATCAGCACCCGTACAAAGCACCTCTAAGTGATGCTTCTCCTCTCCACTGTGCCCTGCTCCCACCCAGTGTCCTCACTGCCTTCAGGGTTATCGCTAAAGCACAGATTGGAGTGTGCGACTGCCCTGAGCAAGCTTCTTGTTGCCCTTAGATAAATTCAAGGCCTCATCTCTTGCCTCTGTCCCTCCTGAACCCTATGTCAAGCCACCCTGAATGGTATTCTGTGCGTTTAGGCCCCAGGGCCTTTGCACACGTGCCTTCTGCCTAGGATGGTATCCACTTTGCTCTGCCTGACAATCTCCACCCATCCTTTGAAACCCAGCTCAAATGTCCCTTGCTGATGAAGTCTCCTGGGGCTCCACAGCCTTCAAAGGACTAGACATCTACCTGAGCATTTCCTGATCGGCTGCATTGCCTGCTCACATATCTAAGCCCCCACCTCTGCTTACCCACTAGACTCTGAGTCCTTTAAAATCCTGACCTGGGTATTCCTAACTTCCTGGCGGGCTTAACAAATACCAGAGGGAAGGGGACGGAGGTGTACATCTTCTGTGTACAGCGAAAACTGTTTTCAGCCCAGACGGCATGGTAGGTGAGCCCGAGGTTAACACTGTGGCGGCCATGGTGCTGAAGACGGCCCAGCTCCCGAAGCACGGATTTCCCTCCAGTCTCCCTCTTCTCACTGCTCCCTCTTTTTTTCTTTCATTTATTTTTCTTTCCTGCTCTCTTCTTGTTGCTGTTTAACTTGCACAGTAATCATGTTGCACGCACCACAGTGGAGGAACCCACAATCCTGCTGCTGCAACAAATCTGATTGTTCTCATCTGTCTGTCTTCCCGTCCCATCCTTATGTGCCCACATCATTTTGCATAATGTTTGTAATCATAATGCAGTTTTAATTTTGTAGTCTACTCTTTAACTTAATATCAGAAGCATTTCCATGCTCCCACAGTCTTCCTAATTATCATTTTAATGGCTGCATAATATTCCATTGAATGGACGTGCCAAGTTTTACTTAACTGTTTCCTTCCTGCTTGACAGTCCAGTGTGCCTCCCCGTTGGAGAGAGAGCAAGGTGGGAGTACGCATGCAACACGCATCTTCTACTTTTCTCTTTCTTATTCCATCCTGTTCACTTCTCTTTCACCTCTACCTTCTTCACTCTCTTTTCCATCTCCGTCTACCTCCTTAGCCACAGCTCTCTTTCTGAGAGCACTCATTTGTCCCTAAGTGGATATAAAAATCATCTTAATGGGACTCAGGATTTTGAAAAAAAAATTACTAAAATTTTGTAATAAAATGCTCCTGAGGACACTTCTGCTGTTTCTGTACCCAGAAATCTCCTGTTCACAGGGTTAGGAGCACAGAGCAGGCAGGACCAGGTTGCAGAAAGCTCACGCCTGTGACGGGACACAGCGTTTGTAATGGGGGAAAAGGGGAGGCCGCCCGAACGTCTGTCCATAAGGAGATGGCTGAATGAAGCGCGATGTGTCTGTGCCGGGAACGGTCTGTAGCATTTGGGGAGACTGCTGTCGACCCATTTGTACTGATTTACACAGATGAGACTTTTTTTTAGTGAATTTAATTGCAGAATATTTGTAGTTTACAATTTAAGTAAAAAATAACAGCAAAACCTAGACACACATGATAGTACCATGTATTTTCTGTAGATACATCATGCAAATATATAGAAAAACAGGTAATAATGGTCATCTCTGTGTTTAGGGGAAAGGACCTAGATTTGAGGGACTGATCAAAGGATCTGGGCCAGAACTGCAATGGTTTCAATCTTTTTTCAAAGAAAGTAGGCTCATATATTGCTTATATCAAGGAAATTCATCTAAAAGGTGTCGCCGCTGTTGTGTCTGTGTGTTTCTGTTGTGCACTGACCAGCCCCTGATTCAGGCCACAGATACGTGAAATGCAGTCAGAGAATGCCACGAACGTGCAAATGCCCTTGTGGGAGGGGTGAGCTTTTGCTTTTCTCAGGCTGGAATGCAGGTCGTTCCAGCCGTGCTGGTGGGCCTGGGACGGAAAGGACCGGCTGCTCTTCCAAGAGAGCGGACCCTGCCCCTCCGCCAGCCCTCCCACCCCCGTCCTGGCAGGTGGAGGTTGGGGGTGCTGAAGTTTAGTCTGTGGCACCCAGTCCTGGATGGAGGACAACAGATGGGGCCACACAGCATTGCTGCTCAGAGCGAGGGGAACAGGTGGAGGCTCTGGGGCCAGAGTGTGAATGCTGGCGATTCATAAGCGGTGTCGGCAGGCGGAGTGCCCAGCTCAGAGCCCGTGACAGCTGGGCAGCACGTGGGTGGGGCGGCAGCAGGGGCGAGGGGGGGGGCCTCAGCCATGGGGGAGGAGGCACGAGAGCGCAGGAGACGAGGGAGGGAAAGAGGGGCGCTCCTCCTCACCTGCCCCCCAAGGCTGGGCAGGTGTGAGGTCAGAGGCCGCAGCTGACCTGGCAGGGTTGGGAAGCTGCAGGGTGAGGGGTCATAATGTGAGACATGTTCCTCAGCTGCCCCTTTACCCCCGTCCCCCCCCCCCCCAACGCCAGCTGTCCTGTGCCTAACCCTGAACCCAAGGCATTTGGGCCATTCCAGCAGCTGTGCCAGGCCTTTGGCTGGGTCAGGGCCCAGGCAAGGGAGAGAAACAGCTGCCACCCCTCCCTTTGCAGGCAGGAGGTAGGAGCACAAGCAGGTGACCGTGTTGGGCACATCGGAAGCACATGACAGGACATTCCACACTTTTCTGTCCAGAACCCTACCTGTTTACTGTCCCTCACCCCATTGCTCTTTAAGTTGGAGTGACAGAGTGAGAAAGGTCAAAGCGCTGCGAAAACAGTGAACTTCATCTCTTGACTGGACAAGTGCTGCTGTTTTCACAGCACGTCCCGGAGCCCCCCCACAGCCCACTGCGAAAGCCCCTTTACAGGGAGGAAGCTGAGGCTTCTTCATCAGACACCAGAGGTGGGACAGAAGTCAGATTTGATGCTAGAGACCAAATTCATAACCCGCGAGGAGGACCGAGCTAACGAAACGCCAGCTAAGGGCCAGGGCAGCGGCATCGAGAGCAGCCCGATGAGGTGGGAGGAGCACCAAGGAAACTGGAAAACCCTCTTCTCTGGAGATTTCTCTGAACGGGACGAGTCATCCCTTTGGGCTGGTTAGGAGGAGCGGGCACAGAGCCCCTTGGGTTGGGTGCCAGGAGACCTGAACGTCGCCCCTGTTTCTGCAGTGCTGGCCGGCCATGGTCTTCAGCTCCCCGGTGAGGCGTGAGCTGGCAGAGCCTCAGCAGGTGGGGCAGCGCACCTGCCGACCGCGCTGCCCCGGCCTCAGGAGCACAGCTCCTCGCCCACGCCCAGGCTTCTGTCCGCCAGCAGGGGGACCCCGAGCCCCAGGCAAGGGCCCTGCGCAGGCGGGGCTCCTGGCCCCGCAGCCATCCCACCGCTCAGCAGAGTCGCACATGCCCCAGAGCCTCGGTTTCCTACTCTGCGATGGGAAGAGGTCGAGTTCTCGGCCATGAAGCGCTGATGGTCTTTGTCGTTGTGACTGTGCTCCTTCAGCACACCACCCGACGCTCGGCACGCAGGCTTTGAGCTCTGATTTCCAGCCCTGAGTGACTCCCGTCCAACTCTTGGGCCTGGGACAGTGGCAGGAAGAGAAAAACCCAGTGCCCCTCTGTGAGGGCCCCTCTGTGTCTCCCACTCCACCTGACCAGCCAGATGGAGCCGATGTCTCTTAGGTGGAGGACAACACCTTTCACAAGATCCTGCTTGTCCCTCTATTCTGGAATTTGGGACGTTGAGTGGGCCCTCCGAGGGGGCTGGGAACCCAGGCCGCAGCCACCTCTCCACCTGGACTGTAGGAAAAGGTGTGTTGACCTTTCGCACACCCGGTGCTGGCTGGTGACAGGGCCTTGGGTTCGGGGCGGAGGGTCAAGGCAAATATGAATAGAACAACTCCAGACTAGCATTTCAAGTTCCGCTGAAGATCAGGGCAGCAGGGCCCGGTGAGACTGGAGCTGAGACAATGGGCTGAAGCCAGAATCTGGGGCCAGGCCTGTGTTTTCCACAGGTCTCCTGCCTGTTCTTTTCCCAGGAATGTTGACCAGTTCAGATTCCTTAGTGTGACGGGGTGACCCCTGGCTTCCATCACACCGTCACTGTGAACACCTGTGTGTGGTGGGTTCTCTGACAGGCTCCCAGGGTCCCAGTGGAGGACAGGGGCCGTTCCACCCATCAGGGTTCTACCTTGCTCCTTCCAAAAGGCCTCTGGCTTCAGTCTAAGCCCTCACCCCAGGACACAGTCCACAAAGCACCAGATTAAAAGTCGCAAGTGACAAGGCGATGGCTGCTTTCCCAATCCCATCTCTCTTGTCCTCTGGGCTGGACTGCAGACTCTGGGAGGGCGCCTTGTGACGTATTGCAAAGAACCCTGGACTGGGACTCAGCGGCCTGAGCTCATTTTTTCAGTTCTAGCATTTTATGGCTCCAGGACCCGCTCTGAGCCTCGGTGTTTTAATCTGTTAAAGGGATCATAATAGCTTCCCAACCTAGCAGCATGAGGACACAGGAGGTACATGTGAGAAAGGGCCAGACACGTGGTTCTTCTCTTCCTTCTGTCTGTACCCACCCAAGACAACTGAAAATATATGTTCCCACAAAACTTGTGCATGAATGTTCACAGCCGCATTATTCATAAAAGTGGGAGCAACCCAACGTCCATTATAAATGGGCATACCACAGGCGGCCCACACACTCATGGACTATCGCTCAGACACAAAAGGGGTGGCACAACACAGGTGACCCTCGAAAACGTTATGCTGAATGAAAGAAGCTGGATACAAAGGCCATGTGTTATGTGGTTCCATTTATATGAACCGTCCAGAATAGGCAAATCCAGAGAGAAAGGAGATTAGTAATTGCCAGGGTCTGCGTGGGTGTGGGGAGGGGTTGGGAAATGAGTGTTAGCAGGTGCAAGGTTTTTTTGGGGAGTGATGAAAATGTTCTAAAATTAAATTATGGTGATAGTTGCACAATTCTGTAAATACACTAAAAACCATGGAGTGGTACACTTTAAATGGGTGAACTTTATGATATGTAAATTATATCTCAGTGAAGCTGTTAAAAAAGCTTTTAACTAGGTGTCCTGAATTTCATCGGGCAGCTCTATTTCTGTCCTTCCGTCCCTCCTTCCCCCAGTCCTCATGGCCTCCTTCACCCTCTCAGAACATACAGAAAGAAGCGGGTACATTGCTTTTTCTTGAGGGGCGAGGGCTCTGCGTGATGGGTGGGAAGGAACACAGGCGGCATTAGGCAGCCACACCCTCTCCCTGCCTCCTTTTCCCCATCTGCCCACTGAGGGTCCTTGCCCTTGTACCCTCAGAGGTGGTGTTGAGGCGTCCAGGACAGTGGGGTGAACGTCCTGGCTGGGATGGCGTGGGCTGTGCCGGGAGGCTGAGCTCTGATGGCTTCATGACATGGTGGAGGCAACTTCAGGTGTTCTAGGCAGCGGTGGGGTGGCAGGTGAACGGCCCAGAGGCACCCCCTCGGCTGCAATCGGGGCCAGAGAAGCCAAGAACCCCACGGCTGGTGCCTGCGGGCTGGGGTCAGGGGTGGGGGCCTGGCCACGGGCTGCCGGATGAAGAGTTGCTGGTGCCGGGAGAAGGCTGACTCTTTAATTGATGAGCGACATGGTGGGACAAGCTGCTGGCCATGTGCCAGGTGGGGCAGGGGTGGGGGCTGGAGGCGCTTGGAGATGGCGGGGAGCTGCTGCTCCCAGGTCTGCGGGCATCCAGAGCTCTGCGCCCAGCGGGCGGTCATTAACCACTCAGGACCGTGACGAGGGGGGTCTGCACTCAGCTCTTCCGATTCGTCTCTTCCTCGCCACCGCGCTCCCCGCTCAGGTCTGAGCATGCTCAGATCGTGCGGTCTAAAACCAACCTCTTTTTGACCCCTGTCTCCTGCAGCTAACAGTCCATCTTCTATTCTCTTCCCTGCCAAGCTCCTCAAAGCCTGTCTGCTCCCACAGCCCCACCTTTTCCTCCCCGCTCCAGCGTTTACCCGGAGACGGTGCTTCTGCCCCACCCTGCCCTCCTCACATCGCAAATCCTGCCACTGCCCGCTCAGCTCGCTCGCGGCTGCCTTCCAGCCCCGAACCCCTCAGCACCCTGCTTCTGAGATGCCCACTTCCCTTGGGTGGGCACAGCCTCACTTCTTCCCAGCTCCTTTTCTGCATCCTCTCCCTGAGTGACGTCATCTTGCCCAGAGTTTTGACTGCCACCTCAATTGAGATGACTCTGCTGGAGCTCCGACTGTCCCTGAGCCATTTCCACAAACCTGCTGGACGCGGTGCCTGGACGTCCCCCAGGGCACATCCCACCCAAGCCGTCCAGGAGTGAACTTCTTAACCTTCCCCCAGTCCCCCTTCGAATCTGCCTCCCAGCCGGTGGCATTTCTCTAGAGGCCTGAGCTTGAAACCCAAGAGTCACCTTTACCTCTCCATTCTCCCTGGCTGCTCTGCTCAGCTGGCCAAGGAGCCCGTGTGACACCTCTCCTGTCCATCTTCTCTGTCCCCATTGCTTCCTCTCCTGGTTGCCTTTTAGTCTTCTTCAGGCAAGATGGCTGTTGCCTCTGACGTGTCTTCCTGCTTCCCGTGCCCTCTCTCCTCCAGTCCACTCTGCACAGGGGCACAGAGGGTCTTTCCAGAGCATCTTAGAGATCCTTCAGGCTCCTGTTCAAAGCCCTCAGAAGTGTCCCATCACCAACAGAGCGGACCATCATATCTGTCTAGTGACTTACAACCTGGAAAGCACTTTAAAAGAAATAAACACAGAATTTGATAAGGGGACCCGAGGCTGAGAGATATGTGGTGAGTTGTCCGGTTCCCCTGGTTGGGAAGAGTGGAGCACGGACAGGGCTGAGGCCTTGTGGCTTTAATTGGGTGCACCGCCCACCCCAGTCCCTTCAGCCTCCCAGGGAGGCCTCTAGCAGCGTGGCCCCTAGCCGTCACCCTGCTGCCCAGCCCACCATCTTGCCCAGAACACACCTCTGTCTGCCCACAGAACCCCCTTCATGTCACCAGCCCTTGTCCACAAACACAGGGCATCCTGCCCCGTGGCCTTCCCCGCCTGTCAGCCACTGCACGCGCTCCTCCTCTGTGGTGCCTGGAGCTCCAGCTCATGCTGAGCAGGCTCGACACCAGCCCTGCCCTCCAGTCCCCCTACTCTTGGCGCTCTCAGAGGGCACGTTAGAACAGCGCCATCTCCACAGCAGGTCCTTAATAAGACCAGTCGAACAAGGACTCAAAAGGGATTCTCCTCCTCCAGGAATCCCTGTCAGACCAACTGGACCCACTTCCAATCACACACACCTGCCCGAGTAAAACACGTCACACCTGGGTGGGTCTCAGCTCTGACGCCCGGCTTCCCGTTACCGTTCTTGGCCTCTGTTTCATCTGATTAGGGACTAAGAGCACCTCCTGCCTTGCTACCTCCTAGGTGTGTTTGAGGTGTAAACCGCCTAACACCGACCTGCATCTGTGAGGGGCCTTTATTATTGTAGGACAGTGTCCACGTGCTGGTTCTCTCTGGGTGTGTCAGCAGCCCACTTGCCATGAGAGGGGAGGGTGTGAAAGCAAGGACCCCCACTTCTGCAAGGTCTGAGTTTAAAGGCTTGGTACTTAAAGGTGTCCTGAGCCCAGCTCACCTGGACATCAGGATGTCTCCGCTGGGCACCAGGCCCTACCTTCAGCTCTCGGGTGGGTTGGAAGAAGCATATTTCCTCTCTGGGTCTTGGTTTCCTTATCTTTGCAGTGGACAGATTGGCTGAGTAGAGTAGGGGTGGTTCTCTGAATCCCCAAGATCTGGGCTCCTTTCCACCACGGGGTCCCCAGGGCTGCAGCGATCCTTCTGGCAGGGGCATCAGCGCTCACCCCACCCCTCTGCAGTTCAACTAGAGGAAGCGCTCCTCAGTGGGGTAGGAGGGCTGTTCTGTCCCTCACAGGAGGGACTGTGGGTCAGGTCCCTTGTGCGTCTTGTCTCTGCCTGATTGGGAGCTCTTTCTGGAGACTGTGGCTTTGTCAGCTGTCTATCCCCAGTGCTCAGCTCACCGTCTGATACAAAAAGGCGTTCAATGCATGTTTGTTGAATAGGATGGATGAATGAATGAATGAATGAATGAATGAACAAAGGATGAAGTTATGAAAGAAATGAAAGCAACATCTTAACTTCAGGATTTAGGAACCTTCCTGCCATCCGGAGAGACTTGGACTCACTGGCCCGCCCCATCCCTCCAACACAAGACACAGGGGACTGATCAGCCTGTGGTCCTCCTCCCCACAGACCTGGCACCTCCCCCCACAGGAGCCTCTGATGTGGGAGAAGGGAGAGGGGAGGTGGGATGAGACAGGCAGAGACCCAGATTTCAAATCTGAAGGGGAGGGGACCTTGAGGGAGGTGGGCTTGGCTTGGGGGATCCTGGGGAAAGGCCAGGGGCTTCCTGGCCATCGGAAATCTTTCGCTTTCAATCTCTGCCCTGGCCAGCCTTGCTCTCCCTCCTATACGCGCTGCCAAGAACAATGCTGAAAAGCAGCACAGGGACCTGCTTGTAGGAGAGCCCTAAAACCTGAGCAGAGCCTTCACAACCCCTCCCTGCTGGAGTCCCAGGGGTGCACCTGGAGGGCGGGCCCCTTGCTGACTTGGGGTGTCTGGTCTAGTGTGAAGAACATGGGGAAGGAGGAGGTGCCGGGCTGTCTGTCCCTCAAGGGTGCTTCTGCCTCTGCACACACCCCTCCCCACAGCCCAGAGACCGGCGAGGGGCCAGTGCAGAAACCAGCGCAGGGGCTTTGAAGGGAAGAATCAGGACCGAGAGGAGGAGGGGTCAGGCCAGGCTCTGGGGGTGTTTAGACTCATGGTGACTTTGTCTTGCCCCCAGAGCCACATTCCAAATCGAAGCTTTTCACTGGATACCTTTAAGGGCACCCAGACCTGGCACCTGTGGGCCTGGGTGCCAACTTCACCATGACGGGCTGCACCGAGCAGATTCCAGAACTATTCCACCTGCCTGGTGTGGCCTGCTTGTCCTGTTGATAAGATGTCATGTGGACACTCCATGGGTCAGCCCTCATCACCACACCGTGAGGCGGTGCTCCTAGGCTGAGTCCTCAGAGGAAGAAACAAAGGCCGAGCTGTTCAAGGCAAGGGAACACGTGGCGGTCACAGTCTGCAGGGTGCCGGGACCCTGGGGTGGGGAGGGCACCTGCCAGGGGGTCCTGGACACATTGCAGAAGCCAGAGAGTTTTTGGCTCAGTGTAAATTCCAGAACTTTGGTTCCACCTGTTCTGCCTACATCTCCCCACGTTGTCCTTTCTTCACAATAGAGGTCTGACCCCCTGTCTACTTCCCCCACCACCATCATTCCTCCTCTCAGTCCTGGAACCCGCTTCCCGTGAGGGACTTAGAAGGTGTCTAGGTAGAAAGGACTTACTGGCTGTCAGAGCATGACAGGGCCATAGATGTCAATCCTCTAAGCTGACTGATGGGTAAACTGAGGCAAAGTTGACTTGCTTGGGGCCACACAGCCAGGGAGTAGCAGAGCAGGGCCTAGACGCCAGCGTCCAGCTCTTCTGACTTAGCCAACAGCTCTTGTCATAGTACCATATGGCCTCACTGCCCACGTGCCCTCTGCTGACCCCCACCCCTTCCTCAGGAAGACTGAGATCTTGCGTGGAGCCTGCCTGGGCCAGCTCAGAATCCCACAGGAGGCCTGGCATGGGGACACGCAGCAGGCAGCGAACGAGGGGGAGGAGAAGGAAAGAGGGTTTGGGTTTATTTTACCCAGAGGTGACTGACAAACCACTTACCTACAGGTATTATGCAAATATATCCACCCCTTGTCACTTGGGGCTGGGAGCGAATGGGGGAGGGGCGCAGGTACCCTCCAAGAGCTGGAGATGCGGCTGAAGGTTGCATCCCGTGACCCAGTCGCCCACCCCCTGCCCCAGGCTAGGCCCGCCTGGGTCTTCGCAGGTTTTTCTGACAGTGAAAAATGAAGAGAAAGGCTCGGGCCAAGAGAAGGGCTGAGAGGTGGGGCGGGGGACGCCAAGGCCGGTGGTGGCCCGG